TCACACAAGTTGTGAACTAAATAAAGTTTTTCTTTGGCATTCTTCCACATTTCTTATTTTAGGCTCCCACAAGCCCTTCCCTAAGCCCCACTGTTGGTACAGTCCACATTCGTTGCCCCTAGGCTACCTAATGGCTTCACACAGCGGTTCCCAGCTTGGACTGCCTTATATTATGGACCTACTCCAACCCTCGCCTTGTACTTCAAAACTTACTGTTGCTTTTTCCTTAAGGTCCTACTCTGCCTTCCAGTGTGCCAGCTAATTTTTATAAGCTGTTATATATTAATTTTAATGCAGAATTTCAGGAGACAATGCCAGAAACAAGTATTTTTTGCATATTTTCTGTATAACCTCTCCACCAAAAAGATTATGTTGAACTTTACGTTCCATTGTTTGTATTACCAAAAACAATGGGTATATTAATATGCTTTTTCTTTTGGGGGGGATGATAGGCAGTTTTATATTCTTTGTTGTACTTGTGTTTATGCAACATTTTATAATAAACACATTTTTAAATTTTTTATTTTTAGCATGAGTACATAATCATATATATTTATGGTATGGGACACATGTAAGGTTTTGATACAGACATAGAATAAATAAGATCTGATATTTGATAGCACAGCAAGGTGACTATATCATTAAATTATTAATATGCTTTTTCTCAACTCATTTGTTCTTCCCTGTCCACTGAGATTTTGTTGTTTGTTTGCTTGTGTGTGTGTGTGTGTTTTCTGTTTTTTTTTTTTTTTTTTTTTTAAACAGGGTCTCCATCCGTTGTTCAGGCTGGGTGCCGTAGCACAATTATGGCTCACTGCAGCCTCGACCTCCTGGGGTCAAGCGATCCTCCCACCGCAGCCTCCCAAGTAACTGGGACCACAAGAACATGCCATCATGCCCAGCTAATTTTTTTTTTTTTTTCCTGTAGAGACAGGGTCTTACCAATTTGCCCGAGCTGATTTCAAACTCCTAGGCTCCAACAATCCTCCTGTCTCCACTTCCCAAAGTGCTGGAATTATAGGAATTAGCCACTGCAACTGGCCTCCACTGAGATTTTTATATGTCTCTGTAGGGATTTATACTCCAGTTACCATATCTTTTCCACACCTACTATCCCAGCACTTTGGGAGGCCAAGGTAGGAGGATTGCTTGAGTCCAGGAGTTCGAAACTAGCCTGGGCAACACAGGGAGACCCTGTCTCTACAAAAAAATACAAAAATTAGTCAGGCATGGTGACACATGCCTGTGGTCCCAGCTACTCGGGAGACTGAAGTGGGAGGATTGCTTGGGCCAGGGAGGTCAAGGCTTCAGTGAGCTGTGATCACGCCACTTCACCCCAGCTTGGGCAACAGAGTGAGACCTTGTCTCAGAAAAGAAAAAGAAAAATTCATTTTCCCAAGAAAAAGTTAATGGAACTAGGATTTGAATCCCAATAGATCTGATCCAAAGTTCACGCTTTCAACTTCTATACCTCTTTGTGGAGAATCTTTCATGTGCCAGAGATGGTTTGAACCACCCAGTATGTGTACATTCATTCATTCATTCGTGAATTATTCATTCATTTATTCAGCAACTCTTTTTGAACATTTGCTGTATTCACTTTCCCAGGTGCTGTGAAAATTCAAAGCTTAGCCAAATGGAAATCATTCCCTCAAGGAATGTGTCCACCAGAGAAGATGTCATGTACAGAAATAACTATAACATGAAGTATACAGTGATTAGCACTGTAAAAGACATTTCCATTTTTAAAAATTATTTGTGTTCAGAAAAGGGAAAGGATTTTTCCATCAGGGGAGGTGAAAAGGCTGAGATAGGTAGTGGTCGATTTGGTTATTGATTGATGTGAAGGATTTAAACATGAGACAGTGAGAAAGTAAGGGGTATAGAGGTATTTCAGGCTGAGAGAAAATACAGGAACAATAACCCAGAAAAAAGAAGTTAGAGAAAATTATGTCATGGAAAACAAGAAAAAAGAAAATTTCAAGAAATGGTGGCTAAAAGTGTGATGCCATGGATATGTCACTTAGCACTAACCAGAACGTGTGCTTCTGTTTCATGACATTTGCCCTCTTCTGCATATCCATTTTGTTCTCCCCTCTTCCTTCCAGCATCTCATCATATATGGATGCTCAAGTCACTGTTTAAAGAAAAGAAACTTAAGTATAGGTGGAGGTAATGTTTATTTCAACATTTATTCCTGTTAAAAGATTGAGAATTACTTACTTAGGAAACAAAGGTTAAGGAGCAATCTATTCATTAAAGAAGCTTTTTTGAGATCCCATTATGTTCTCAAAAGTGTGTTAGGTGCTAGGAATATTTTTTAAATAATGTGCCATTTCTGCCCTCAAGGATTTTAGAGTCTACTAAAGGAGACAAACATATAAATAAGTAATTACAAAATATAGTGAGTCCTATGTTAGAGTAGTGTACTAGGTATAGACATGACACAGAGAGGCAGTGATCAGTTTTGAGGATGGTAATTAGGAAATGCTTCCAAAAAAGGAAACACATCTGAGCCAGTCTTTTATTTTTCAAGACAAATAGAATTAACCCACATGTTCTTATCCTAAACAAAATACTTTAATATTTCCTAAATGTCTTTTCTGTTAATACACAGAGATATTCTTTTTTTTTTTTTTTTTTTTTTTTTGAGATGGAGTCTCCCTCCGTTGCCCAGGCTGGAGTGCAGTGGTGCAATCTTGGCTCATGGCAACCTCCACCTCCTGGGTTTAAGCAATTCTCCTGTCTCAGCCTCCTGAGTAGCTGGGACTACAGGCACCTGCCACCACACTCAGCTAATTTTTGTATTTTTAGTAGAGACGCGGTTCCTCACCTTGTTGATCAGGCTGGTCTTGAACTCCTGACCTCAGGTGATCCACCCCCTTGGCCTCCCAAAGTGCTGGGATTACAGGCGTGAGCCACCACGCCTGGCATAGAGATATTCTTTATTCATTTTAACAGTTGTGTAGAAATACATTCTATAGATCTGCATGTTACATGTAACCAATCTATTGACAGATATTCGACTTGTTTCAACTTTTCTTATTAATAAACACAGTACTGAAGTACATACACACGTGTGTATATACGTATATATTGTATGCACACAGTCTTGCGTTGGAATCTCTGTAAAACAAATTCTTAGAAGTATACTTCCTAGGGAAAAAAAAAAGTTTTGGCTGGGCGTGGTGGCTCATGGTTGTAATCCTAGCACTTTGGGAGGCTGAAGCAGGTGGATCACCTGAGGTCAGGAGTTTGAGACCAGCCTGGCCAACATGGCGAAGCCCTTTCTCTACTAAAAATCCAAAAATTAGCCAGGCATGATGGCGCCTGCCTGTAATCCCAGCTACTCAGGAGGCTGAGGTAGAAGAATTGCTTGAACCCAGGGGGCGGAGGTTGCAGTGAGCCGAGATTGTGCCACTTCAATCCACCCTGGGTGAAAAAGCAAAACTCTGTCTCAAAAAAAAAAAAAAAAAAAAGTTGTTTTTTCTCATGCTTGTACGGTACTTAGACCTGTCAGTCTTCTTCAACTGAAAGGTTAGTAAATAAAATATTACATTATTGTTTTAATTTGAATCTCTTTGAGTATTGGTGAAGTTGAGTATCTTTTTATCTTTTTGTGTTTACTGGCTGGTTATATTTTTTCTTCTGTGATCTAATTGCTGTGAGGGTCTGGGATTTTACCCAGTACAAGCTAGTAAGTTATCTTGTTAGTGTTTCATGGGTGCTGGCAGAAGGAATAAGACTGCTTGGCCAGAAGCAAAGAACTCTATTGCTTGTGGCATGGCAAGCAGCATGAGCATCATGTTTTCATTGGTTCCCCTTGTTCCCAAGTCCCACAGGCATGATGCAGAAGCGCCCCCAGGGGGATGCTCTGCTTGCAGTAGACGTTTGGCACAGTTGAGGAACTTGTAAAATCTGTCTTTTCTCTGTGATTATGTATCATTTTCTCATTGATTTGTAAGAGCTGTCTCCTATCAGAATGAATATTCCTTCACCTGTCATCGAATGTTACCTGTCTTATCCCAGTTGACTGTTTTAATTTTGATTTTGTCATGGGTTTCATGCCATACATACAAAAGTCTACCCTATTATAACATTTTTGAAATATTAGCATGTTTTTTTCTCTTACACTCTTACACTTTCACTTCTTAGCCTTCAGCAATTTTATCATTTTGGAGTTTACTTTTGTGTAAAGAATGCTGTAGGGACCCACTTGGTTTTACCAAGTGACTAGTCAGTTTTTGCAAACTTCATTTTCCATCTTTCTCCTACTTATTTGATGTGGCACCTTCATTACCTTTTTTTTTTTTTTTTGGAGACATAGTCTTGCTCTGTTGCCCAGGCTGGAGTACAGTCACTGGTGTGACCGCTGATCACTTCAACCTCTGCTTCCTGGGTTCAAGTAATTCCCCTGCGTCAGCTTCCCCCAGTAGCTGGGATTACAGGTGCATGCCACCACGCCTGGCCAACTAATTTTTGTATTTTTAGTAGAGACAGGGTTTCACCATGTTGGCCAGGCTGGTCTGAAACTCCTGACTTCAGGTGATCTGCCTGCCTCAGCCTCCCAAAATGCTGGGATTACAGGCACGAGCCACTGTGCCTGGCTGGCACCTTCATTACATAGTAAGATTTTGTCTGTACTTAGCCCTTTCTCTGCTATTGTATTCTTTTAATCTATTTGTATGTTACTACACTAGCCTTATCTTTTACTTACTATGGGTTTATAATACATTTAACACCTTGCAGAATTTGTTCTCCATTATTACTTTTAAAATTTTGGCTGTTTATATGTATTATATTTGAATTGTTCTTTAAAAATAAACAGGATTAATATATAATAATATGAAAAGAAATCCTAAACTGCTGTCTTTTATAACCTTATTCTCCTCTAAAGGTCTTAATGCTATAACTTTTATAAAGGTTTAATATGAATTTCAACAAATATAAAAGCATAGTTTCTATTTGCAACTTCTAAATTTTTTTTTATTTTAACATAGGTTCCTTGTAGCTTGGAATACTGGGATGAACTCCAGAAGGTTTTTGTTGCATTTAGAGAATTTAGTCTGTCTGAAAGCAAAGTTTGTGAACTGCAGTTGCCGGATGTCAATCTTGTGAATGACCAGAAGAAATTAGTATCTTCAGATCTTTGGAGAATTGTCTTGAACAGCAGTCAAAATGGAGCTGATGACCAAAGGTAATTCAGTGAAAGATGAGATGATAGTATTACACTGGGAAACTATGGTCAAGTCATCTTTTCCTATCTAGTGACCCCTCACTTAACTGTATCTCAGCTGTCTAGCAGCTGCGTCTGTCTGAACAACAGATGAGAACCACAAAGAAAGACAAAATCTGATGTTTCAAAGTCTGTGTACTCAAAATCCTGTGTTTTTACTCATAATACAGCTCTGTGAGCCCTCACTAAGAACCTGTTCCTTAAATATAAAAAGAAAAAAAATTCAAAAAAGCAAACTAAACAAAAAGTCTAGTCATCCTGAACCTCAAAATAGGAATACAGTCATATACACACCTCAACAGAAGCTTAATAACATAATAATCAATATGAGTAATGATTATCCTGGGGCATTAAAAGAAATGTTTAAAAAAAATTGAATTGTCTCCTTCTAAAAGGTAAATTTCAGAAATATTTTCATCTTAATTGGTTTTTTAAAACTTTAAAAGACAAGCCTCCCCTGGGCAACAAAGTGCAACTCTCTAAAAAAAAAAATAAAAGAAAAACGACAAGCCTCCAGACACTAAGAAACTTGTGTAGCTAACCAAAATAACTCATACCCAAAGGATTTTACGCAGATAAAGTTTTATCCACCTATAAAGCTTCATTGGCAATAAAGAATCCCTAGAGCTGGCTGGGCAAAGTGGCTCACAGTTGTAATCCCAGCACTTTGAGAGGCCAAGGCGAGTAGACTGCTTGAGTCCATGAGTTTGAGATCAGCCTGGGCAATGTGAAACCCCATCTCTATAAAAAATACAAAACTAGCTGAGCGTGGTGGCACACAACTGTAGTTCCAGCTACTTGGGAAGCTATTGGGGAAAGGATCTCCTGAGCCCCAGAGGGTGAGGCTGCAGTGAGCCATGATCTCACCACTGCACTCCAGCCTGGCTGACAAAGTGAGACCCTGTCACACACACACAAAAATCTCTAGACCAGATTATCCTCATTTCAGTTTTTGCCTACTTAACACATCCACTAATTTACAGTAGAGAAAAATAGCTTCAGCAATCTATTCTTCAGTACTTCTAGCTTATGCACACCTGCTAAGCCCCTTTGCTCATGCCCCCATAAAAGACAATAAACAAAGTAAACCACAACCAGTGGAACAGTTTTCTTGGATCAAATACTATCACGTGTACTGTGAGGCTATGCTGTTCATTGCTGTGGATGCCCTACGTGCCACTTCTCCTCATGGGCTGGCTTAGTGTTGTTATCTTATTCCTTTTATGTAATACCTTCTTCTTTCCCTGGAAACAACGTTCTGACAGTAACAGAAAAAAACCAACCACCATTCCAGTACCTTGCAAATCAAGTGTTTTTTCTTTTCTCTGTTACCGTTATTTTTGCCCATATGTGTACATGCTTTTACAAGGTAATAATCATAGCACACCACTTTGTATTCCAGTTTCTACTTTTTATTATAAATTATTGTGAATACTTTTTCTTTGGAAATATTTATTTTTATTAATATATGTTCACTGAAGAACATTTGTAAAATAAAACAATACTACCCATAATCACAAGGAGATAACTTCTGTTAACATTTTGGTTTGTAGCCTCATAGTCTTTTTCATTGATTATTTTGTATGCTTGATAATAATGTGTTTTGTGTTTTATATTTCATATATTCTAGTTCTAGGTCATTTGGGCTCTTTAAAAATATTTACTTTCCTAACAGTTTAGTTAGTATTATAGAATTAGTGAAAATATATTAGAGAAGTAGTGTTTTAATTTTACCTGCATATAGTTCAGCAATAAAAAGAACACCCATCCTGTGATGAATTATTTCATGGATGGAAAGATTGCCTTTTCTAAGTTTAGGTTATCTCATCAGAAACCAGGAAATCTCAGAAAACAGAGCTATGGATAACTAAACTGATTTTTTTTAATCTGAGTTTTATTAATAGTATCAAGTTAGAAATGACTTCTTGATTCTAATTATGAAGTAATGCATTTCCATCATCGAAAGAAGCATTGTAGAGAATGTTAATGCCTCTGAATCTGAAACATTTATAAAAATTACTTTCGTGGTAAGCTTAGCAGTATAGAAATGTGGAGCCTTTAGGAAACAGAAATGTAAGTGGACAATCAAATTCAGGCAATTTTTCACCAAGCATCTGACATTATAATCACAGATCTTTGTCCTCACCAGGGATTTTTCACCTTAGCTGATATTTCACAATCGATCTCACTTTAAATTGTTTGAGATTAATCATTTTTCAGATAGAAATTGATATTAATGAAATTAAATTAGAAGAGTTGGTTTAAAAGTCAACATAATAAAACAATATTAAGGATTATATTTGTTTCATCCAATTTCTAGCAAGAAAACAGTAATGATTTGATAATATGTCAATATTTCATGCAGACAGTTAGCCTCATGCTTTTACAGTTTATTTCATGCTTTTACAGTTAGCCTCAGTATATTCTGTCACATGAGAAATCTAAATCTGGACAAAAACTGGTACTTTTATTATTAGAGATTATCTTATAAGGGATGGTCTCAGTGGTTTGAGAAGGATTTACATCAGACTATTGGACATTACTGAAAGAAAGGTCACAAAAATATATCCCATGAAGCCTAATTTAAAAAGAGGAGCTTCTTGCCTATAATTGAGATGCAATTTTAATGTTCTTGTGGTAATGGCATCACTCTAAATATGTAAATAGAGGTAGCATTTAATAGAGATAGAAGACCTCTATTCCATCTTTTTTTTTTTTTTTTTTTTTTGAGATGAAGTCTCACTCTGTCACCCAGGCTGGAGTGCAGTGGCGCAATCTCGGCTCACTGCAAGCTCCGCCTCCCAGGTTCACACCATCCTCCTGCCTCAGCCTCCCGAGTAGCTGGGATTACAGGTGCCTGCCACCACGCTTGGCTAATTTTTTTGTATTTTTTTTTAGTACAGATGGGATTTCACTGTGTTAGCCAAGATGGTCTCAATTCCCTGACCTCATGATCCACCTGCCTCAGCCTCCCAAAGTGCTGGGATTACAGGCGTGAGCCACTGCACCCGGCCTATTACACCTTTCAAGGTGGAAGACCTAGGTTTAAGGCCTGGCTCCATCACCAATATGCTATTTGGTGTTGAGAGATTGACTTCTAAACTGAGACTTTAAGGAATGAATAGGCGCTAACCAGTTCAGTGGATGACAGGGAGCCCCCGGTGCAAATGACTGAAGACAAAAAAGAGTCAATAATTGACTGGGCTCAGTGGCTAACATCTATAGTCCCTAGACTTTGGGAGGCTGAGGTAGGAAGATGGCTTGAGCCCAGGAGTTCAAGACCAGACTGGGCAATATTAGTGAGACTTTTGTCTCCACAAAAAAAAATGTAAAAATTAGCCAGGCATAAAAGTGCATGCCTGTAGTCCCAGCTGATCAGGAGGCCAAGGTGGGAGGATTGCTTGAGCCCAGGAGGCAGAGGTTGCAAGGAGCCAAGATCACACCACTGTACTCCAGCCTGGGTGACAACGTGAGACCTTGTCTCAAAAAATAAAAAATGAGTCATTAGTTAGGTTTCTATATCTTTAACTAATGGTTTGCTTGATCATATTATGGTTTTTGGGAGGGAGCATTTGAAGTAAATGTTGACCTTTATAGTACTGACCTTTGAAAGCCTTCCCCTTCTATTTGCTGTACACTGGACTAGAGGCAAGGGATGCAGCCTCTGGAGCCCTGGTCATGCTATCCATTTCAGCTGTTTATGTTACTCCCATCACGTATGTATTTGTCCACACCCATTGCCTGTTTCCAAAGCCTAAGTAAACCTCTTATCAGTCAGGTTCTGACAGGAAACAGATGGCTACTCAGACTGGGTGACTGGGGAGAGTTTAATGAACTACAAAAATGTGGGCTAGGAACCCTGGGAAACTGTCCCAATCTTAGGCCAAAAGAAGCCAAGTGATAGAGCCATTATCAAAACTCTAACTCAGAGTGGGTGTTTGTAGCTATGTTTGATAGAGGAACACAGCTAATGTACAGAGATCTGGCTACAAAGGAACCGGGAAAATACATACCCTTACCTCACTCCCCTTCTGCCTTCTAAGTCACCTTGTGGGTACCTCCCACTGACTGAATCCAAGGACAAGCCAGAGGACAAAGTAGCTTGTTGGTGCAGTCCAGAATGCTCCCTTCTGGAGGCAAAGAAGAAGGTGGGGAGTGGTAGAAGGTGGGTCAAGAGAGCAAACAGAAGACATCCAGCAAGCACACACTCTTATTTGCAATTGGCAACTTCTTACCAGGTGACTAGCCCTGGGAGGAACAAAAGGGAAAAGGAGTCGTGAGCCCTACTCTCTTGGGCCACACTGGCAGGTTCCCTGGGTTTGAAATCAATCAGGTGTCTTCTGATGGATCAGAAGAACTTTTTACTTTATTTATTCCCTCTTACCTTCACCCCTAAAGAGCTAATTCCAGAAATACTTATTTTGGCTGTGGAAAGTCACACAAATTACAGACATTTATCATATAACACAATAGTAACTGCAGATCTCAATATGTATGTCTGGTTAATTCTGTATAAGTTGTTTGATGATAACGTTAAATTCTTGATCTGTGCCAAGACTTTGGTACTTTCCTGTCCATGTTTCACGGTCATCTTCTCACAATATTAAAGCATGTGAGAGCAGATTGCTTATAAGGAGTTTTTATTCCTACCCCCCAAATACTGACTTATGACAGAAGGCATCTTGGAAAGAGAAATGGCTTAAGGGTGTTTGGCTCTTTCTTCATGTGATAAAAATTAAACCTCTGGTGAGTTGTATGGAGTGCTTCCATCTTTGGATGTGCTTTTATATATATATATATATTTTTTTTTTTCTTTCTACTCCCTTAAGATCTCATTAAAGAAATCACTATCCACTCATATTTTGGAATCTTTGAGACAGTGATCCACAGCCTGTGTGTGTATGAGTGTGTGAGTGTGAAGAACTCCTTTTCATTTTCCAAAACCTTGATTCTTGTATATA